TGCCAAACTCTTTGAAACCTCTGTGTCGGTCGCAAAACGTCTTAAAACCGTGCCAGGAGACCGTGTTGCTGGGAATCTGGAAGCCAACACTGGGCATCGGTAAATGCGGCTCGTCTAAGCCAGCAATCTTCACAGAAGCGCCTAGCCACCCAGGTGCCAGGTTCAGTGCCGGTTAAGGGATGATTCCCGGCAACCTCCGGGAGAGATTGGCATTCTTGGGCTCGGGGCATCCAATGGCCTCGGCCTACATTTTGCAAAGCCGGAGTGGTACATACTGCAAGGGGGGCTCCTGAAAGGCAATCAGGAAAGGAATCATAGCCATTCATTTCTTCCATTCATCTCCTTGTGGAGTGGAGGACTCACCCTTCCAGGCACACATCCCGACCATGAGTATCCCTAGAACGTTGTGAGCTGCTGGCCGCCGTTCCAGTTGTCAACAAACCAGCCAACCGCGCCTGTGGTTCCAAGTTGATCTGGCATGTAGGCCGTTGGGGGGGAATTGACCTGACATTGGCGGCACCTGCCAGGGAGAGACAGATCTGCCCAATGCGTGACATGCATCACAGCTAGATGGCACTCGATGACCTAGCAGAAATCGACCTGCACCCCGTGAAGCGCTGCAAAAACCGTTCGGGACACCTCAACCTCGCCTGCCATATCTCAAGAACACAATTTATAAAGACCTGGGCAAAGAGTCCCCCATTCGAGAACTTCGACGGACCCAAAACTTCCCACCTGTGAAGAGCCGCTTGCTCGTCCAGGCATCCCATACTGTGCGTCCAAGTCCTCGAGGAACCGAGTCCCATTCAGCTGCGCCGCATGTTGGTCAAGCGCAGACACCAGGTTCTGACTGGGGTGACAACCAGTCCAAGACCGTTGTCGTTTGGACTGTTTACTGTGAAACATCAGCAAACTCCAAGCAATCTCCAAGTACCACCAACCCAATGATAGAACAAAAAGGAACCTTTGCTGGGGAGTTCTGATAACTTTCCCCAGCCAATGCGCTGGCATGGGTAGGTGTAGCCTTCGCATCTTTTCTGGACTTTCCGGACCGGTGATTGGGTCACTCCTGCTGGTAACTGGGCTGGCCGCCATACATGTCCTGCCATGGCCAAATTGAATGAAGCACTTGCAGAAATAGTCGAACATCAACGACAAATGTTGAGCACTATCAACTTTGGGTCGGGAAAAACCAGGGTCTCAAGAACCAAGAAGTCATCATCGATTCAATCTATTCTTCACCGATTCTGCACCACAGAACTACGGTGCTTCCCTATTTCCCTCCCTCCAACTAGCGAACTTGCACGTGACACTTCTACACGCGGCTGTCCATAGGCAAATGTTAGCTGTTAACAGTGACAGTTCACAAGCGCCCCAGAGATATTGCCACCCATCCTCTTAAACACCTCCCCCCACCCTTGCAGCTCCTGCCGGCCGTAGCCCGGCTGGTCTTCGAACGGGGGCATCTCCTGCATTCATGACTGTGATTGCGGGTAAGGATGGCCGGTTTGGCAAATTGATAGGAGTGCTATCTTTCCTTCATGAGCGAAACAGGCACGCCCAACACACAGGTACATCGTGCCTGCTCACCATCCTCCTCGTCATGGTCTCCCGTATAAGAATCATCTTCCTGTAAAGCAAGTTCAACATCTGGATGTGGCCTTGCACATCTAATTACCCTCCTGCCACGCTGCAACGCATGCATGCATGTGTGCGTGTGTTTCTTCCACAGTGTGTGTGTGTGTGTGTGTCGGGGAAAGCTATCATGAATGTCAGACTGTTCCTCACCTGTGACTGGCAGTCATGGACAGGAGACAGCTCTTCAAACGGCTACACCGGCGAAACCAGGCCTGGTCTCTCATCACATCAGTGCGCCGCGTCGAACGGTTGCGCCGCTGGACTTAGTACATCCCGGCTTTTGTATTGCGGTTCGCAACTGTGAGATCTGTCAAGTCACCAAAAGAATCAACCCAAGGGGTTAAATAGAACAATCCGAAGACATCCGGCATGTGAGATGCAATCTTGGCCCCTAGAGTAGAACATGGCCCTCACACGTGCAGCTGAATGGCCATAAAGAATGCCACAGCAACCTGCAATCAGCGCCAGGACGACAAATGCTATAACCTCAGAAGCGAGTCTAAGTCTAAGTACTGAGTGCTTGCTTGTGGGGGCAAGTAGGGGTCTCAAAGAAAGCTGGGTGCAATAAAAGCCCGCAAACCATAAAGTGTGTGGCTACCTTTGTGTGTCAAGGTGGTCGCACCAGAATTGTCCAGTTGAGCTAGACTGTCGTCATCCGCAAAGGCTCAGACCCAAGGAAGCCAAGGCTTGCTCTGACACGCACCACTGCTTCGGAAGTTCATGACATTCAACGCGATGCCTCAAGGCACATCGCAAACACAGGCACCTACACGCGGCCGCGCGGCAACGCCAGCACCGAAAGGGCTCGAGCAAAATGCAATCCATTTCGCATCTGCCTGGATGTGCACCTTCGCTGAAGCGGCTGGCGGGGATGCGGAAGTCGCACATGTCCTTGGCAGGCTTTGGCCAGTGGTTTTGGTGAGACAGCTAAACCTCTTGAGGACAGCCTCCCAAGATTTGATGTGCAAGAAGGCAAGCCAGAAATTATCTACATGCTTCCCACCTTGCCAGGGCACGAAGCAAGCATAGCCCTTCACCTCATCGCCTTTGACAACACAAAGGCCACGCCCGTAGGGCACTTTGAACTGGTGGCGCAGCTTCTTCGGGCACGGGTCGCCTTCCACCCCATCACGTGGGGTGCAAGCAGCCAAGGCCAAACATGCACCAGCGGCTTTACTCCATAAAACCCAAACATGCGTCATGCGTCTGTCTTCATTGGGAATATGGTAGCCTCGCTCCTCAATCCTCGTATATATATATATATATTTATGTTTATATATAATACATATACATGTTAGCGCAGAAAAATTGTAGACAGGTCCTTTGGCTTCCTATCTGGCTCAGCACTCTGATCATGCTTTCAAAGCAGCAAAGGAAAACAGCAAACAGCTGACGCCTAGAATCTTGTGGATGAACTTGGCACACCTCCCCTTCCCTCTCCATCCCCGCTCTGGCCTGCTGGGCATGTTTGCGAACTGTCACTCAATCCCAGCCGTTTCGGGCAGGAGACGTTGTTGTTCAACCCAGCGCGCACTTGTGCCACCATGCCCTGGCACGATCTAGCAACCAACAGCTGTCCTCCATTCTTCAGAATCACACAGTACTACATCCGGCTCTTGCAAATCTTCACCACCCGCATGAATCTTTTCAGCATGGCCTCCGCCACAATGTTCACAACATCAGACATACCGTTCCCGTTCACGGTGTACTGTGAGGTATTGTGAGCCCTGGGTCGCAAGGCAGAAAACTAGTTTTTTCGGCAGCACATGCCGCAACAAAACATTACACATCTGTTTCTGTGGACATGTGCACATAATATATATATATATAACCCTGCTATTAGGCCAGGTCAATAAACGCGTGGATTGTGCATTCCACTGCTAACAAGTCGCGGATTGCATACATCCCAGCCTTAGATATCTGCCTAACTTGACACAGGAAGCTCAAGCCAAGCGTTTGTAGTTTGAAAGGTCCCTATCTGTGCTGGTTGGGAAAAACCTAAATTCCCAACATGTTTGTGGTAAAAATTGCCAATCAAACATCATATGTTGCAACAACCTCATACAAGGCTGCTTCTGATTCTAGCTTCGATTCTGGCTTCCGACAGGGGACATGCTTCTCCTTGGCCTGTCACGTCGGGCTGCGTCCGCTGGCTCGATATACAAAAGCCTCTGTTCGGAAAGTCACCCTGCAGCCGGCAATTCCTGAGCCCGGTAGGGCGACGAGGGGCATTAGGCTTTTCAAACAAGCACGGCCTAAGGTCTGGCCAAACAAGCTATCCGAACATTCTATCTTTTTGATACATCCACAAATCTCTGCTTTGCACAAGGCCTCTGTCTGTCTGTCACTCACCTTCACTGCATCAGAGTCACTGCAGGGGGCTACATGACATCGGCACATCGGGGCTGTAGAGCGCCACCAGCGGCGGTGTGGTCGTTGTAACTGAGTGTTCGGAGCGGTGTCCAGCTCAGAACGTGAAAAACAACATGACACAACCTGCAGATCCAGCCCATCAAAAGCCCTCAGATGACCGAAGAAGGGGTAACACGAATGGAATCTTGAGGTGTAAACCCGTGTTCCTGTTGTTGCGTGAGACGCTTTGGCCTGGGCTCAAAACATTCAAACTCCAAGTGACCGCGTCAGTGTCTAAAACAGCCGGCCCACCTCGACCCAAACTTACCTACTCTCTGACATGCATTTGTTCGCATGGCCTAATTCGGAGACATGTCGTGCTCCCACTAAGCGCCTTGGCCAGCCACCGAGATCAACAGACTGGCGATGCAGGACACGAGCCTTATGACATCACGGAACTGGAGATCGGTGGAGCGACCAACGGTTTCCATATGCAGTTCTAGAGATGACTGGAATGGAGAAGCGGAGAATTGCAAACACCGGGGCCATTTGGCACAAATAATAGCTTCACGGCACTGTGCGAGTACACATACAGTACATGTTTCCCTCACCTCAGTGTGGCAGTAGCTGATGTTGGCATTGATGCATCCAGGGCACATGCTGGTGGCACACCGCTGTTCCATCTCTGCTGTCTCAACACAAAGCTTCTCGGGCCAAATGCCCGACGGTTCCCAAGAGTCATAAGAGTCACCTGCCCTGCGGCTGTTGCTCACAAACATCTCTGGTCTTGTAAACTCATGACTAGGCAAGCCGGCTCACTGCTAACCCGACGGTTCGAATAAAGCCCAAGTTTCACATGTTTTTCTTGCCGCTGCTCCACCGAACAGCATTTGTGCATGTATGTGTATATATAAAGATATGCATAACCGCGCCGAGATGCGCCGAGTGTATGATGGTTGGTGTTTTCTTGAAATCCTGTCTTCCCTCACTGTGCTTGCAGTCCAAGGTGCCAAAGCTGCCACGCCTGCGATAGCCTGTCTCATCTCCCAGCGCAAACGTTCTATGGCTTCTCCCTGCACACACGAAGGGAAGGATCACCCGGGCCGAAACACAGCTGGGTGGGTGAAGGGTTCGGTTCATGGACGGCAACTTCACCCCACCCCAACCCACCCCACCTGTGCCCGCAGTGTCAACATCACCACCACCCCACCCCACCATACAGTTTCTGAATCGGCCAGTCTTTGAATCGGCTAGTTCTGAATTGGGACACCCTGTAGTTTCTGAATCGGCTAGTTGATGAACCGGCCAGTTTCTGAATCGGGACACCCTGTAGTATCTGAATCCCAAATTTCTGAAGCATAGTTTCTGAATCGGAGCTAGTTTCTGAATCGTCTTCTGTTCTGAAGAGTTCCCTCTAAACTTTATCAACATTTATCACATGCGAAGCCAGCAATCCAGCTGACTCTAGCTGCGCACGGTTCACAGAGTTTAGGCCACTGGTGTAGCATCATTGGCTCTACCGTCCTTCTAAAATTTAGGGATGAACTGGGACACTCAGTGGACGCCATCGCCAAGTAAAACCCCCATTACTGGTGATAGCACCTTTTAACGTCAAAACGTCACCCATGAGCCGTTCAGCTTCGAAAATGTATTCAATTGTATCCTAAAGCCTGATACCTAATAGGAATGGCCTCCAACCTACTAGCGATCTCCTCCACCCCAATAGCGATGGCCTCAAACCTAAAATGCTCTTGTTGTGATGTCTTGATTCTTTGCACATTGACGTGTAGCTGTAGATGTCTATTCTGACATGGTAGGATGGTCGCCGTGTCCTTGCCGTGTTGTTGTAGCGGGAGACATACAGGCATCATGACATAGAGCAAACAGCAGTCGCAAAGACAATGATACCAATTAGCTACTGTTTGGAACAGTGAGAGGCCGCTGAGAGGCAATGGCAGCAATGAAATGGTGAGTCTTTAGATCAAGAACCCCGAGCCGAAGTATTGACGCCTTTTTGCTATACTCTCATGGGGTGGGCCAGGCCACCCTGGGCTCTGACTCCAGCGGTTTCCGAGCAGAATTGCACACCAATGTCCACAAAAATCCCGGACTCCAGGAAGACTGGAAATTGATGGAAAACTGCATATCCTGAGGGGATGGGACTGTTCAAACCTGCACTTCCAGGATTTTCACACCAACACTTCCACCAGCCCAAGGCCGCTGGGCCTGCTTTTCAGCAGTGGCTTGAAGCGCTGACACATGGTCCTCATTGGGATCACCATGCCCATTTTGTCGGTGTGGCCGTCTTAACTGCTCACTCTTTACACTTGCAAAGAATTGCCTCCTGTTTACACTGCACGGGACATGGCCCTCGCGTGATCGTGCGAGCAATCAATGTGATGTAATTCATCTCAGGTTGCAAAAACCAATGCTTCTTGATGGGACTCGGAAGCCATCGTGGCCCAAGCTTGAGGGTCTCCCTGCAGCTGGGGCACAAGAAGCTGCTGCTGTCGTGCCAGCGGGTCCTGTTCAGGCCCATCAGAGTCGTTCTTCATCAACTGAGTCCCTCAAATTCTAGCGGACCTCTGTTCTTCATCAACATATTCTAACAATCTAAGACTCCAGCAGCCAACCCGTCCGACCCGTCCTCTTCGCACTTTTGCTTGAAGCTAGCTCTGCGTGTGACGGACGACTTCCACTCAAGGCCACGGCTCCTTCAGCAAGAGCAAACTAAAAGAACTCCTGGCTCAATCAATGGCAACAGCCTCCACAGCAATGGTAGGATCAGGTACCGGAGATTGTATGTTGGCCCCTTGTGTGGCCCTTAGATACTTTCCTCCTCACTCTTGCAGTCATGAGGCTGATCAAGCATCGAATCCACAGATAGTGTGCCCACTGATGCACTCATCTCGCCGGAGGAAGAGTGCCACGAATGCCGTCCTTGGCTCTAGATTGGAGGTCACAAGGTTCACTCCCTTTTCCGGTGCCCTGTCAAATCAGGTAAGCACGGGCTTGGCATTGTGCAAGCACTTGAGGGCTTGGAATGCACAACAGTTCAGGCCTATGCTTGAGCCACCGGGTCGCAACCCATCTAGATTTCTCGGAGCAAGCTGCTGATCTCAGAGGGAAGCCCTGTCGAGTCATCATCCTGGTTCTTGCGCCGATCCCAGTCAGCCTGGCCCGTGCTCGCAGCCTGTGCTCACATGAATGTTGGGATCCTTTCTTCTAATCTTAGAACCTGAGGGTTGTGCTTCCTAAGGTGACTTTCACTCCACACTGGATTGTGCAACTCCTGCACGAGGGCGAGTGCCAAGCGAAACTGCCCAACCCCCCAGCTGCGGGGCATCTCCTTCACACTTCTGAAATATCTCTGCAGCCGCCGCGCAGCCAACACACCTCCGAGAATGTGAAGTTGATCAAATATGGAGCTACAAACTGACTTGTTGCTTCATGAGCTGTAGTTCAAGCAACCGAGAAACAAAAACCCTCCATCAATCAGAAGCAAACTGGGTGTTTGGTTGTAGATGTTGCTGCGCTGCATTGCCCAAAGGCTTGTGGGTAAGCCACCCTCGCAGTAATTGCAAAAAGGTGCCGTGGTTTTCGTATTCAGCAGTCTTGTGCCCGTGGAAGAACCCATGCCTTTTGTGAATTGGCCATATGAGAGGGGTCATCCCATGCCACCAAGGGCACGGTAATTCAGCATCTTGGTGTGCATCTCTAGCAAGCGGCACCGTAGTGCTTCCCGCCGCAAGCATTCTGAATACCAGGCTGCGCAAAACCTTGACTCGACGCCACCCAGAATGTGGGCAGGTGGCATGACCAAAACAAGGGGGTCTCTATCTACTTGCCTGAAAGCACGACTGTTGTGCCATCTTCCTCTTCAAATCCTGCAGCAATTTGAAGGGGCAGCAAACATTGGGGAACAAGTTCCCCCAAGAAGAAGCAGACCTACCAAGAGAATTCAGCCCACAGTAATTTGATGGAGCAGCTGCATGCTTGGAAGTGTTCGACACCACTCCTACACCCCATGTCCCTACACATTTTGACCAAGACCTACAGGTCGCATTTGCCATGAAGCTGTGGGAACTCCCCACACAGGCGGCTGTAGTGCTCGCGCGGCAGCCGCAGCGCCTGGCCCTTCTCCGACTCGCAGCGCGCGTTGCAGCGACGGAACCTCGAGGCGACAGCGGGCCTACCGACCTTTCAAGAGGCAAGGAGCTGACATAACCTCAGTACGTTTAACATGGTTCAACTCCAGATCATCGCCTGGAGCAGCTTCTGGGCAAGCTGGAGATTGGCTCTGCCCCAAGGTTCCTTCGCACCCTTCCAAGGAGGTCATACTGAGTATGGGATCTCTCGATTCCCTTTAAAACTATAGGTAAGAGGCAGTCTCTTACCAGAGGCCAAACCACGCCCACAAAGTGACTATAGAAGACGTCGAGTCATGGAGAGCCTAAAGAAGTTCCTTGTGTTTTCATGTTGTGCCAGCTCTCTTGTTTTGGCGTGCTGCGGAGATCGAAACATTTTTTTGCCCAGCAGCTGTTTCACCCCACCATGCAGTTCGAAGTTTCCGAAATAGCCTCAAAGCTGCTGCATGTCTCAACTTTATTGAAAAGCATGGTTGCTGATGATTGGTGCAAAGCCTATTTCTTTAGTTTGGTGTATAAATGCAGGACACGAAGCTGTTGTGAGAGAAGAGCTGATACGGCCACATCTCCTCAGTGGGAGCGAAATACGAACAGCATGTCAGTTGTTGCGGTGGCCCTTCAGGGCTTGTGAGATTACCTACCCGAGGGAGTGCAGCAAGCCCCAAAGCTAGTATCATAATTTGTCTGAGCATGCTTGGGGGACACTTGGTTGGCTCTCTTGGGGTGGCAAGTTTTACATTGGCTCTGAACCTGCTGCCTGAGCACGTTCGCACGAGGGCTCTTGCTCGGTCGCTCTGGTCTAGCCACAAACGCAAAGGTGCCACTGAGGACTAGGAACATGTGGAAGGCAGAATCGCCTGGTGCAAACCAAACATGTGAAAACAAACCTGATGCGTCTTGTGAAGTCAAACTTGGGTTTCAAATTTGCTGCAACGCGCGTTTGTGCCAAGAGTGGTGGCTGCCGTTTTTGCCCAACACCTGCAAACCCAAGATTGCCACACTCGACCAGCAGCCATCATTAAAAACGCACAAGAGCCTGCGTGGTACAAAAGGTGGCCATTTTCGTAGAACTTAGGCGTCAACGCCAGTGACAAGAGCAACGGCAATCGTGGCGGGGTAGTCACCACAAAGGGCACCCGTAGAAACCTTGGATCTTGGTCATTCTAGTGGCCAAAGCACCAAGCAGCTAAACTGCCATTGCAAAACGAGTCCATCATTAATCACTAACCGTCACCAATCATAATCATAATCATCACCATCATCACCACCACCACCATCATCACATCAACATAACGACCATCATCACCATCATCATCACCATCATCACCACCATCACCATCATCATCACATCATCATCACCACCATCACCATCATCATCAATCATCACATTTTTGTTTCGCAATGAAGGTTGCATATTGCCTGAAACACGGGCAACTCCGGTGGCCAGCCTATGGCATGGCTGGGATGCACACCGTGTTGCCCACCTCAGAAAGCCACCTAAAGCGCTGAAGGTCCTGCATCATCATAGATCCACCAGCAGTTGCCGGCGAGGATGGCAGCGCAGTGACCTGAGTATAAATATGGAAGCCCACTCAAGTCGTGCCCGGCTCTTGCAATTTGGAGGCAGGTGAGGTCAAGCAAGGCACGCAGTCCGAACGCTCCACGAAGTCAAGACCCCTTGAAAGTCAACCCGGTCTTGGCCTGAATCCCCCGCAGGGATGATGGTGAACAAAGTCGGCGACATCATCTCGTCGAAAAGGCTGCGGCCAATCCAAACCAAGGACGGTCCATTGACTGTGAGCAAAAATGCCCCCCCCCAGGCTGTCTCATCTTCACTGAATCATTCATGTTTCTGAGCCATATAGCCTCCAACATTTTGTGTCCAGAAGGTTTCTGAATTTGGAGACCTCATGCTGGCACAGGGCTCCACGATGATCCATGCTCTTGCCAACGACACGGAAAACGGCTCTGACGCCCACACTCCGCAGATGCGACCAGGACAAATCTGTACTCCACCAAACGCAGCACATTTCTTGCGGCAAGTGTGGCACTTGACTTGAGCCCCCATCGGTTGAGGAGGAAGTGCAGCAGGTTCTGAATGTTCAGGATGAAAGCATCAGCGTCATCTGTCCCCAAGAGCGATCTGACCCATGTGGCCATAAGCTTGCGGATGGTCTCGCCACTGAGCAAACAAACCACAAAGATCACAAAGTGGTCGCTCTTGTTGAAGCGCTTGGACGGTCAAAGATCTCGAAAAGTCTCCGCCGGCTCCAGAGCAGAGTCTCAGGAGATGCGTTGGATGATGGATGAGCAAAAACTTGGACATGAGTAGTAGGTTCTAATGAGACGGCTGAAATTCGGACGTGAGGGACTCGCCACAATGACAACACATGGGCTTACCATCAACTGCATCTCTAGCTTTCAGAGGTTGAGGTCCAAGAGGATGAAAGACTGGAAGAGCGCAAGCTCACGCCATCCGAATTGTATAGAGATGTCCAAACGTGAGTCCAGTCAAGATCTACCCCCGCCAGTCAACCACATCAGATCTTGCCAGGTCCTGCATCCAAACTTGCAAGAGGTGCAGTGAGGATTGATTGGGCCAGATATTCAATAGTGTGAAGGATATCATCGCTGACAAGCGGTGAAACGCTTCCCCCGTGCCACGAAATATGCGCCGTCCGGCGGTCTATCAATTGGATTAATGGACGTTCCCACTGACGCTCTATAGACTCTATGAAAGGCATTGTGCCTTGCGTGCGTGTGGAAAATGAATGGTGAGCAGGTGTTGTCAACTCCAGCAGCATCAAGACAATGAAGCGCATTGGGACCGCACATGGTTGCCAAAGTTCTTTCTTCTGTTCGGCATGAAGAGGGCTCCGCTTGAACCACCGCCGCACTTGATTGAACCCAAGCATGCGAGACTTCAATCTTTTATGCATGGTGCTCGTTGCGACTGTCAATATTGCATCTGAACTGGAAGATAGTCTTGCGAGGTCCGGCTAGGAATCTCAAAGAGAGCAAAGTCTGGACCTGAAATGGGGAAGGTGGATCCTGTTAAGTTGGTTTCATGGGCCCATGGCAGCCAGCTTTAGCAAGTTGACGGACATGCACAGTTGCTCCAAAATAGCGATGAGTTTGCCAAAGTGTTGAAGATCTTGAGAGAGTTCCATGTGGCTTTGAAACTCAAAGTGGGCATGTCCATCATCGTCATAGAACGCGCAGCGCCGTCTCCTCCAATTTGGATCCGTGATTGAAAACCAGAGCTAAAAACACACCCAAAAGTACAGCGCTGATGATGCCACAGTGGATTGGCTGCGTTTGCTCTTGACCCTGACCCGGCCTGGAGCATTGCCATGCTCTTGACTTGTGGAGGACATTGAAGAGAAGAAAAGGTGTATGATCTTTCACATTGTGATCCAGGTGTACAGGTCTTCTGGCTAGGGACAATCCCAATCACAAAGGGCCACCCGTCTAGGTGGCTCGTGAGCCCAGGTGCACGCTTAAGTAAGGAGACGCCCAGTTGATCTGTAACCAACTTCCCTCAATACCAACTGTGGCCATGCAAAGTGGCCTGTTTTAGGGTTATCAAGAGTGCTTTCTTTTTGGGCGGTGTCCCGATTGGAGGGTGCTTCACTCCGAGCTCTCGGCGTCTTTGTGGGGTCAAAGAAGCATAGTGGAGGTGATAGGCAAACAGCAAAAAGATTAAGGCACACAAGGACAAAGAAGAAATGAGTCAAGCCCCGGGCGATCGAAGACCTCAGCCTGACGTCCGTCACTGAGTGTTGGACGTAGGTGGGCCAAGTGCCGGTACTGGATGGAGTGCAGGACCGAGGCGGTCAAGAAGTCCGGGATATTCCAGGATGACCATGAGCAAGGGAGCTGCGCACCAGCCCCGCGGCGCAGAGGGGCTGATGGGGTTTGGGCACTCGGGGCCCTCCTCCTCCTCCTCCTCCTGCTCCTCCTCCGCATCATCATGATCATGATCATCATGATCATCATTATCACCACCACGACCACCATCACCATCACCATCACCATCACCATCACCATCATAGCAGCAGCAGCACCAGCACCAGCACCAGCACCAGCACCAGCACCAGCACCAGCAGCAGCAGCAGCAGCAGCACCAGCAGCACCAGCAGCAGCAGCAGCAGCAGGAGCAGGAGCAGGAGCAGGAGCAGGAGCAGGAGAAGAAGTCGTCGTCGTCGTCGTCGGCGGCGGCTGCGGCAGTCGTCATCAGCAGTAGCAAACCTCCGATCATCACCCACTTCAGCTGAGAGACCCATTCCGTACCAGCTGCCCCTTGAAGAGACGGCCATGGAGCTCCTTCCTGTCGAAACATCAAGTACGAGCTCAAGTCTGAAATTGAGGCACAAGCTCAGCAATGACAAATGGAATAACACCCGTGGTAGACCAGTTTGCTACTGCAAGGGGGCCCTTCCATAGCTACACGCAGGCAGTCAGGGCAAGGGTTTCCAAAAAAGAACGGAACAAGACGTCCGCAATCCCGATTGAAACGTGCTTCGTCCAACCCGATGTTCAACTCCAGTAGGGAGTCAACCTGAAGTGAGCTATCTTCAACCAATAACGTGATTTGTTCGACCCCAGGAACCATCCGACCCTTGGTTCAAAAGGCATCCTGGCAAAGACATGTTTTCATTATTCACTACCAATGCCAAGCGTCATCAAGGATAAGGGCATATCATTCGCAACCAGCTGGTGCATCTCATCCAGTTTAAATTGCTCCGTCATCAAATCTCGGGCGTTTGTCTCCAGCCACAAGGATAGCCTCACAGGCACGCACGACACATGTCCAACCAGTGGCCTTCATGACTGGCTTCTCAGTGGATTCTTCACAGTTTGCATTGAAAGGAAAGCTTGTGCCAGGAGGTGCAGGTGCGAATGGGCAGTGTCAGGGAAAGTGTGAACGCTTGGCATGGTGATCCGCTAATATTCCGCTTCCATTCGAGCTAGACTAGTCAAGTCCAGCTCACTTTGCTACTTGTGTGATGGTCAGAGCCAGACATGCGGGCCTTGGTCAAATACTCACAACTGCATCGAAGCAACGCTTTTGACCCGGCTGCATCTAGATTCGCGTGAGCTGCAAACTCTTTGGCTAGCTTCAGCTTGTTCTTGAGAAACGCATTCACCTGGGCAGCGGTGCTGTGTCTGCATAGCTGCAACAAAATGCGCTCTTCGACTCTACTGCTGCTTTAGGAGAGCCACCACAGCTACTACGCGTGGTTAGAAGCCTTCGCGATTGTTTCGTGAACTGGCGTTGGTAGCAATATCCATGTATACTGTATAGAGGTTTTTCACGTCGTTCATCCCAAAACTGTTGGGCATAGAGTCATAGAAGCATCCAAGGTGAGAATGAGAGCATTCTGTTCCAGCACGACGAGGAACGGCACCACATAGCGAGCGATTGCACATCATTCTCGTGCACGCGGTTGCTCCGCTGTCATCTCATCAAAACACCAACCAAACACCCACGGCCCATCATCCAACCACCGACCCGACTAATCCATTTCAACTCATCCTCTTCGGCCAACCAGCGCCCAGCTGAACCCCGCTGTTTGCTGAACGGGGCACGGTGTTGTCACTCGTGACCTCGCTAATGACTTGGCCAACAATCAAACTGTGGACGATGGCACCCACCATCATGGTCAGAGTGCAATAAATGATCTCACCGGTGGTGAAGGCAGAGATGTCACCTGCGGAATGATGTCGGAATGATGCCAGAGCGAGCTCATGAGTTGCCAACAATGGGCAAATGGGCCTCGGGGAATCTCCTTTATGATGCTAGGCTGCGGATTGCAACAGAAAGGGAACATGACTATGACCAGTGACCATTTTAAGTTATATATATATATATACACATATAACATATATGTATATTAGCGGAGAGTTGGAAATCCAGGCCTACAGGAGGAATGGACAATACAATAGTCAATTGTCTAGCATCTGGAGCTGGAGGGGGGGATCTCGACAAACTCAACCGAGCCAAGCTGCCAAAGCCAACTGTGGTGAAGACCTGCCACGCAACGTGGCAAACAAAGCCGCTCTCTCAACGCTGAAAGGTGGTTGAGTCAGAGATCTATTGAAGCTGGGGCGCTGCAAAGACAAAGTACATGGAATGAGCCCATTGGTCGAGGGGTGGAAAGTTCAGCAGCATCTCCTGCAGCATTGTCATTTGTTCTGCCGGAGACATTCCAGGCCGTTCACCCTAGAGTTCAGGGTGCAAGGTTGGAGTCAACATTGGCAACAGTTGCTGGAGTGGCTGTCAGCGGTGGGGCAACATGTTCACGCCGTCGGTCCTGGTCGACGCCAACATGACGACGGGCTAACCAGGTTTCGAGCGGATCCGCATGAAGAGCTGCACAAAGATACCAGCCACAGGCCTCATGTGGTGCTGTGCGGTTCACTTTGCCGTGAGTCTGCAATCGGTGGCCTCCTAAACTCCAATGGTCAATGGTAAAGGATGAAACTATGCAAAACCCGATGCCCTTCCAGCTGCCACAGCACGTTCCAACAGTTTCCGAGGTCTGCTCAGGCTTGGCTCAGCTTGGTGCGTCCCCGTGAATTGTGGGGGCACTTGTGTGCCACTTCGCCAGTGCAGCCAGATCAGCAGCATTCAGCAGCCAAGTCGCCATCACATGTACTGCCCAAACAAGTCCGAAGAGAGTGTTCAAGACAGCAACAACCTTGCTTGCAAGCTGTCAGTCAGCTCAGCCAAACCCCACAACAGGCCACAAACAAATTGTCAAATGGTACCGAAAGGAATTCCAGTTCAGCCGTCTGTGACCGGGTGCGACCTTGTATCTCTGGATGTATGTGTCCAGGTTGAGCCGCTCTGTCAACTGGGTCAGTTTCCTTGGAAAGCGCCGACCGCCGGGAATGTCACGGCGCCGACCAGCCGTCGTCAAAGCCGACGGATGGGACGACCATCGTCGTTTCGTCGCCAAGCCACACCAGTCTCAACATGCGGACGATCTTGGTCATCCTCTGCATCCGCACCAGCCTCTGCATCCGCACCAACCCCAACCGTCGAAGCGAGAGCTCTGTGATCCCCCAGCGACCCGAAAACAACCTAATTGTAATGGCCTCCAACCTACTAGAGATGACCCAAACCTCATAGGAACGGCCTCCAACCTGGTAGCGATGGCCTCCAACCTACTAGAGATGACCTCC